GAAAAGGACTCTGACAGTCACAAATAAAGGGTTGGAAACATACTAATGCAGCCTCCCTCAACTAAGCAGCTGTCTTTACATGTGTTGAATTACAACTTCTACTATTTCCCCAGCTGATAGGTGTTGCAGTTCAATACATCTGGAGGATATTGGGTTGAAGATCATGCCAGTGAAATATATGTTCAGCAAAAATAGTTCAAGGAGTGGGGCATAACTCAGAAGCAGGGCACAAGCCTTGCATGCCAAAGATTGCAGGTTTAGGAAAAACATTGCCTTGGTCCCTAGGTACCGGTCCCTACAGAAAGGTTTTGCCAGTCTTGACCAAATAACATTGGGGTAAACCAAGAAAAAAGACCTCCTGGTACTGCAGTGGGTTAAACTGCTGAGCTACTGAACTTGCTGACCAAAAAGTTGGCAGTTTGAATCAGGAGGCGGGGTGCGCTCTCACTCTTAGGCCCAGTTTCTGCCAACCTAGCAGTTTGATATCATGCAAATGTCAATAGATCAATGGGTACTGCTTCTGTGGGAAGGTAATGGTGCTCCATGCAGTCATGCTGGCTACATGACCTAGGAGGTGTCTAAGGATAACACCGGCTCTTTGGTTTACAAATGGAGATGAGCACCAGTCCCCGGAGTCGGACATGACTAGACTAAATGTCAGAGGAAACCTTTACCTATACCTTAGACCAGATGTAGTGCAAGTAGAGTTTGGAATTGTTACTTTTTGGGACGAAAAGCCCCCAAGCCAGTATGGCCATCTTGAATGCTGGCTGGAGGATTCTGGAAGTCCAAAATAGGAACTTTTTCCAAATTCCAGGTTTAAGTCTGCTTCTTCACTCTTAGGAATGCCAACTAAGGCAACCAGATACCATTCTTAACCCACCCAGCATACTTCCACAGATGATCTGCCTTTCTAGGTATGTCAACAAAGGCAAGCCTCTAATTTCCATGACCTGTCCTAACTCCCTGTGCCCTTCTCTTTCCCTCTCCTGGGACAACTCCCACATGAGACAAATCTCTCCAGCTTTGTGTTTGCAGCTTGCTCGCTTAATCCCAATGACCTTCTTACATGCGCTGCTCCGCAGGCACACAGGCAGCCATGGCAAAAGTGTCACAAGATGAAGTGACCTTCCCCCACTCCGTCCAGCCATTCCAAGGGGGAAGCCGAGAGCAAGGAACCTCCTCCTCCTCTCTTTCGCCCTCCTGCAGACTGATCCCATTAACTCCATCACTTCCTCCCTTGCACTGAGATGCTCTTACGTAAAAACTGCTACTCATTAACGTGGTGGAGGAAGACATGCTTAACACTGAAGAGGAGCACGAAAAACGTCTGGAGGAAAGCATAAGATCTCCAACTGTCACCTCTTCCCCTCCACAACTTCCTTATTTCTGCAGACACCGAGGGGGAAATTTAAAACAGAGGGGAAAAAAGGATTGGGTAAAGAAAGGGCAAAGGGTTCTGAACCATTGGGTTCCTGCAAATTTTCCAGGCTGTACAGTCATTTTCCAGAAGCATTTTCTCCTGACGTTTCACCCACATCTATGGCAGGCATCCGCAGAGGTTGTAAGGTCTGTTGGAATCTAGGCAAGTGAGGTTTATCTGTGCAATGTCCAGGGCGGGAGAAAGAACTCTTATCTGATTGAGGCAGGTATGAATGTTGCATTGGCCACCTTGATTATCATTGAATGGGCTCGTAGCTTCAAAGGCAGTTTCTTACTGCCCGGGGAATCCTTTGTTGGGAGGTGATTAGCTGTCCCTGATTGTTTCTTGTCTGAAGTTCCCCTGTTTATTGCTCTTTATTTACTGTCCTGATTTTAGAGTTTTTAATACTGGTAGCCAGATTTTGTTCATTTTCATGGTTTCCTCCTTTCTGCTGAAGTTGTCCACATGCCTGTGGGTTTCAATGGCTTCTCTCTGTAGTCTGACATGATAGTTATTAGAAAAGGCTAGAGTCCTTTCTCCCAGCTTGGACATCATTCCACAGATATATAAACATCACTTGCCTAGTTTGCAACAGACCTCACAACCTCTGAGGATGCCTGCCATAGATTTGGATGAAAAGCATGAAAATGAACAAAACCTGACTACCAGTATTAAAAAAGACTCTAAAACTCTTTTAAGCTTTTTTTTTGTATTTATATTTATATTGTATGTTTACTTTTAAGCTTTTTTATTGTATTTCTATTTGAATTACTTCTAAGCTTGTTATTGTATTTATATTCGAATTATTATCTCATGTTTATTATTGTATGTTTAAATTGATATGTTAATTGTTTAAATTGATATGTTATGTTTATTATTATATGTGTAATGCGGCATTGTATGCCATGGATTGTAAGCCACCCTGAGTCCCCCACTGGGGTGAGAAGGGTGGGGTATAAATGTATAATAATAATAATAATAATAATAATAATAATAATAATAATAATAATCAGGGCAGTAAATAAAGAGTAATACTCAAAAAGCAGGGCAATTCCAGACAAGAATCAATCAGGGCCAGCTAACACCTCCCAACAAAGGATTCCCCAAGGCAGGAAGCAGCCAGGTTTTGAAGCTGCAAGGCCATTCGATACTAATCCAGGTGGCCATTTGCAACATTCACACTTGCCTTGAGCAGGTAAGAGTTCTTTCTCTCACCCTGGACATTTCACAGATATATAAACTACACTTGCCTAGTTTCCAACAGACCTCACAACCTCTTAGGATGCCTGCCATAGATGTGGGTATAACGTCAGGAGAGAATGCTTCAGGAACATGGCCATACAGCCCGGAAAACTCACAGCAACCCAGAAAGGCAATGGTATGGAGACAAGAATCAAATTGCTTTCTCTTATTAAAAAATACATCATAATCTGGAAGATCTAGGAAGGGGAAGAACAAAAGCATTTTTCCATGTCTTGCTTGTTTTATCTCCTCCCACCACTTTGACACGGTGGCCACCAGTTTGCAAACATTGCAACAGCTACTTGGTGGAGAGGCAACAGAAAAGGCAGTCTGGCTGGCAAGGAACCCACACTGCCGGCTCACATCTTAGAGGTCACTTTGGAGACAGCCTCCCCGCTCCCCATTCCCAGTCTGCGGTGCTGTGTTTTCCTCCATCCTGAGGGCAGGAGACAGAGGAAGGAAAGCTGCCATTCTCAGACTCCTTCAAGATGGAAGGTAGACAGCCTTTCGAAGATGACAGCCATGTTTCAATATTTGAAAGGATGGAGGAGGAGGGAGCAGTCTTGAGGTTTGTTTTGGTTTGGTTTCCTGCTGCACTAGAGCAGGCCTGGGTCAACTTGGATTCTCCAGGTGTTTTGGACTTCAACTCCCAGCATTCCTAACAGTCTCAGGCCCTTTCCTTTTGGCCCTCAGCTTAAGCGGCTGAGGGGGAAAAGGAAAGGGCCTGAGGCTGTTAGGAATGCTGGGAGTTGAAGTCCAAAACACCTGGAGGGCCCAAGTTGGCCCAATGCATAAGCTATCTCGACCTACTAATTTGCATATGATTCCTGATTGCCAGCCTCAGCATTCTAACATCCTTAAGCGGCTGAGGGGGAAAAGGAAGGGGCCTGAGGCTGTTAGGAATGCTGGGAGTTGAAGTCCAAAACACCTGGAGGGAGGGCCCAAGTTGGCCCAGGCCTGCTCTAGAGGTTAGGACACAGAGCAATTGATTCAAAGGGCAGGAAAAAGAGGAAGAACCTCCCCATATTAGGGCAGTGGGCTATGCCACTTCCTCAGAGCGTGGTAGCCTCCTTCTCTGGAGGTTTGTAAGCAGGGGCTGGATGGCCATCTGCCAGGAGTGCTTCGATTGTGTTTCCCAGCATGGCGGAATGGGGTTGGGCTGGGGTCTCTCTATAATTCCATCATTAGGAAGGATCGCCTGACAGTCAGTGGCAATACGCTGCTTCTTTACAGGACTGTGATGGCGTCTCCTTCTCTGGCCATCTGTCGGGAGGGCTTTGATTGTGTTTTCTAGCATGGCGAAATGGGGTTGGGGTCTCTCTATAATTCCATCATTAGGGAGAATCGCCTGACAGTCAGAGGCAATACGCTGCCTCTTACAAGAGTGTGACGGCGTCTCCTTCTCTGGCCATCTGTCGGGAGAGCTTTGATTGTATTTCCCAGCATGGGTTGAGCTGGGGTCTCCTCCAACTCTCTAATTCCATCATTAAGAAGAAGCACGTGGCAGTCAGTGGCAAAACTGTGCCTCTTACAGGACTGTGATAGCATCTCCCTCTCTGGCCATCTTTCAGGAGTGCTTTGATTGTATTTCCCAGCATGGCAGAATGGGGTTGGGCTGGGGTCTCCTCCAATTCTATAATTCCATCATTAGGAAGAACCGCCTGACAGTCAGAGGCAATACACTGCCCTGACAGGAGTATGACAGCATCTCCTTCTCTGGCCATCTGTCGGGAGTGCTTTGATTGGGTTTCCCATCATGGCAGAATGGGGCTTGGGCTTGGGGGGTATCCTCCAACTCTATAATTCCACAATTAGGAAGAACAACCTGACAGTCAGTGGCAATACGCTGCCTCTTACTGGAGTGTGATGGAGTCTCCTTCTCTGGCCATCTGTCGGGAGTGCTTTGATTGTGTCTCTTACCATGGAAGAATGGGGCTGGGCTGGGGGGGGGGTGGTTTCCTCCAACTCTATAATTCCACAATTAGGAAGAAGTGCCTGACAGTCATAGGTAATAGGACTATGATGGCCTCTCCTTCTCTGGCCATCTGTCGGGAGTGATTTGATGGGGTTGGATTGCATAGCTTGTGGGGTCAAGACGAAGGGAGGCAGCCCTTCAAATCCACCCAAAGCTGTGCAATACCAACTTTAAAGGTTATTTTTTTTTCTCCTTGCTGTGTGCCCATTTTTGCCAAGGGCATTCATTGAAACCTTGGGGGTCGTTTGCCCAGGGATCTCTTCTCTCTCCATGGATCCCCGGGTGGATCAGAGAGGGATCTGCTTCTCTCAGGTCCGGAGACCCTGCGTTTCCCCCACTATAACATAGAAAACGCCTTACCCAGGACACCATCCGGAGGATTGTGTGGGGCTGCCGGAGGAAGGTCTGCGGGTCGAAGGCGCCCCCGGCTTTGCCCGCGCCGTAAGCCTGCTCCATCCTCCTCCTCCTCTTCTTCCTCCTCCTCCTCCTTGGAGCAGCTTCTGGGGAAGCAGACCCGAGCCCAAGTTTCTTCCAAGCGGTGGAGGAGGGAGGGTCTCGTCCCTGCAAAGGCGCCCCAAGGCTACCTGAGCATAGCAGCCCCGGCTCCTCCTGGCCCTGCTCCTTCTTCCTTCGAGGAGGAGAAAGAGGAGGAGGAGAGAGAGGCGCTCCAAAGCTCGCCCTCGCCGCCCCCAGGCAGCGGGCAAAAGCTCCGGCTCGGCTCAAGCAGCGCGCGCCCCGGGATTCACGACAGCAGCAGCAGCAGCAGCAGCAGCAAGCCGGCGCGAGCGCGGTGTTGAGAGCGCGCGCTCAGGGGCGGGGCCAGGAGGAAGGATTGTGGGCGGGGCGAGAAGCTGCAGAGCTGGAAAAAGACTGCTGGTGCTGCTGTTGGTGCTTGCAAGGAAATCTCTCCTGTTATTTTGGGGGTTTTTTTCCTTAAAGAGGCGAAGTCTTCCCCTCCAAAATAGGGCTTCCCCCCACCCACTGATCTGCTTGTAGGCGTTGAGACCGCAACACGGAAGGGATGCTCGAACATTTTGTTTTCATTACAAACATTATAATAATTTACATCCAAAAGAAAGAAAGGGAAAAAAGGAAATGTGTATAGGGTTGTTGTGAGTTTTCTGGGCTGTATGGCCATGTTCCAGAAGCATTCTCTCCTGACGTATCGCCTGCATCTATGGCAGGCATCCCAATAGTGAAAG